ACGATATTGTTGGTATATAATATAATATTTGACCTAAAGTTCACGAGTTTTATGCTATAAAAACATTCGATTTGTTCTTATGACGGTTTCAAATAAAAGTGTCAGAAAGCTTATTTGAAAAAAGCAGAATATTTACAAAAACTAAATATTATTAAATCTGATACATCACGATATTTGTTTGCCTAAAACAACATATAGAAAAGAAAATTTAGCAATATTTCTTGCTTTAAGCGATCAATATACATATGAAGACTAAAATCAACATAGCTTCTTGCTTCAACTGATTCAATTTCCAAAATAAGTACACGTATAGGTTATAAAAAATTGAAGATTTCTTATTCCATATGATCCAAGATACAAAGTAGAATCACATATGTGAAGTGGCATACCAAAAGAAATTAAATATGCATTTTAAAGTTGTCAAAATCTTCTATAAACTATGTCAAATAAACAAGAATACATAAAAAGGAAAGCTGTAAAATAGATTAGGGTTAGAATAAATTCTATCACAGTTTTTATTGTCATATCGTCTTACCAGCTTTAACTTAGTGAGGATCAACAGTTAATCACGGTGTCAAACTGGTTTGAATTTTTAAGAATGCGTTTTTGATAGTTTTCTTATCTAGAAAGCAACCTTTGCATTAACGACGAGTTAACACAAATTTCTCTGGTTGTCTTGAACAGAGAAATGATCGCTACTGTTTAAAGCATTCTTCTTGTCTGTAGGTTTAGGAAAGGATGCTCAATTGGAGCATTTTCACTGTCTTTATGCTTTGAAAAAAAAAAGCTCAACTTGGGTATTATCATAATTTGTAGGTTTAGGAAAAGATGTTCAATTGGAGCATTCCCATTGGCTGTAGGTTTAGGAAAATATGTTCAACTTGGGTATTATCATAATTTGTAGGTTTAGGAAAAGATGTTCAATTGGAGCATTCCCATTGTCTGTAGGTTTAGGAAAATATGTTCAACTGGAGCATTCTCCTTGTCTGTAGGTTTAGGAAAGGATGCTCAAATGTTACTCCTTTAAAAACTTTATAAATATTTAAAATAACAGTAACTCTAATAGTGTTTTATCTAATAGATATGAAAAGTAATGAGGGTTGCCACCAATACTTTGTCTTGACTACTAAATAATTAGTATTTCAAACGATATGTTTAATCAATGCACCTCTCAAAAATATCCTTGTTCATAATTTTATTAATACTCCCTTGATAAAGAAAATTTTATATTTTTTCTACATTAGAGATGATACCTTAAATATTTAAATAACTTACATTGATGAAATAATGTTAAAGTGATGTATCATATTTTTTTGTATTATGTAAGACATAAAAAATCGTCATGGAACACTGAGTATCCTGTGACAATTTCGAATCTCTTAAGCTCACCGCTGAGATATCTGGCTTAAAAATATCTTTGTCTATAATGATAGATGCGTTTCTAGGTATAATAAATTAGAACTTGTGCTGTATTTTTCTTCTGAAGACCAACAGTATGTCCCCTCACGGTGGCTCGGTGTTAAGTCTAAGGGTTTCGATATCCTTGGTGGGAAGAGCGCAGATATCCCATTGTGTAACATTGTGCTTAATAAAATATTAACCAACAATACAGATAAACTGTTTTTGTGAAAATTTGAATTCTTGCATGTAAAACATGATTTTTTGATCTGCTAAATCTGTATGAAGGTTTTGGTAATGTCCAAGTTTAAGCTAGAAATTAATATTTGTTAAAGACGTTTGCAAACTTACATATTCGTTTTAAAAAAGATAAATAAAATGGTTCTTTTTCTACATCACATAATTATTATTATTATATACTGCTTGTATTCCATAATTTATTATTCAGGTTCATTCTGCATAGGCGATTAATAGTTATTGTCTGTAGTTGCACAAAAAGATTATCTTTTCAAAACTTTATCTGTGAAAATCTGTATTTGACTTTTATTACGTTTTTATCACACAAAAAAGCGTTTATGAAGAAATTACTTTATGAGAGTAATAATTTACCAATTTATATATTTGTTTGAAATTAATATTATCTCTTACTAGCTCTATACTTTATCAATGGTCGGCTGTATAAATGATATCCGTATAAAACTTTTTAAGTTCATTTTGATTTTATATTCCTAAGCAAAGACTCAACAAAGATAAAATCATATTAACAAGTTTGTAATTTTAGAATAATTATAAACAATACAGAGTAATTCTCAGAATTGAAGCTACATTTACATTGAAAAGAAACGAATTTAATAATTTTTTATCAGATTATTACTTTTATTTCTGAGCCGAGTGTAGGCTAGTGGTTAACGTCATAAACTAGCGAGATTTTACCGAGATTAAACGTAAATATAAGCCACCTTCAATGTTTATTGTTTATGAAAGTCTCTAAGCCTTTTATCCCGAGTAACCAATTCGTGTCAGGTATGCCACAGAAACTAGACTATCTATGAAGATAGAGAATAATTATGTTAACGTAACATATCATAATGCGCTCGAACATTCACGATTGTTTGAATAGACTGTTTCTACAAAGCAGCTGAGTATCTGATATGAGATCGAGACATATCAAAATAATAAGGTGTTCTTGATATTGGTTTCTCAAATTTTATTTCGTATATTATGCTTAAAATATTTTCATTTAATAATTTTAGGCCTTTTATTTTACTCGGATATTCGCGCCAAGGCTACTCGAGAGCTTTCTGTGCTAGCTGACGCTAATTTTGAACTAATAGGCAGCTCGTCAAAAGGACATACCGTCAACTGACCAAATAGTGGGTTTTTACAGTCATCCTTACAACGCATCGTTAGCCCTAAAGTATGGAAGGCATTTGTTTTTTGTTTTTTACTTTTTTGCATTAACAGGACGCAACTGTTGGACTCGCAGATCTTCAGACAGGCTCGTTAATCAACGGGCAATATTCAGAGTTATAGCATGTTGAGTCATCCGTTAAAGAAGGTTTACTGTGAAGGACGCAACTGTTGGACTCGCAGATCTTCAGACAGGCTCGTTAATCAACGGGCAATATTCAGAGTTATAGCATGTTGAGTCATCCGTTAAAGAAGGCTTACTGTGGAAAGAGCTGAAACCTAACGGTAGAGTTATAAAATGTTGAACCACCCATTAAAGTAGTTCTGGTGTTTTTTCTTCCAGTGGGGACAGTATTGCCAAATCATTGAGTAGTTAGTTAAGTGTTAAGTGAAGCTTAACTTGTGTTAATCCTTAATCTCTCTTTTCCTTTATGAGTGTAGCTAATTAAATATAATATTTATGTTGTAAGTTTTTTATACGAGAAACATTCAATACGAGAAAAATGTTTGAAATTTGTGTCTTTTTTTTTTCATGGTATTTACTTGAGGCGAGTCGTTCTTGTCTAAGGACCGCCGATGTATTGTTCTGCGTTGATGAGCCAATTTTGTTATATAAATAAGTTCTTATAAATGACTAAGGATTTAAAACAAAGTTAGAAGGGTGATATATTTTTTTGAAAAATTACTGCAAAAATTAACAATTATGAAAAAAGGCAAAGGACTCTCACTCAACAAAGATTAGTTTCAAATGTTTAGTTGTGGTATAGCTCAAACGCCGGTGATGACAGTGGTAGTTTGAACTAAAGGCTAGAGTAACTCAAAATAATGACAAGAACATTGGTGTTCGCAATATTAGTCCAAATTATAAGGCAGTAGTTTAAAACAGTCGTTCGACAATATTCTAAAGCAATGGTCATGGTGGCATTGCAAACAATGGTTATAACTATAATACAAAACAATGGTCACAATAGTAATCCAAAAGTGATTACGACATTAAAGCAGAACAGTGGTTTCGGCAGTATTTTAAAAAGAAAACTCATAACAATATTATGAACATCAGTGGATATGACATTAATCTAAAACAGCAGATGTGACAGTAATTCAAAGCAGTGACTGACAGATAAGAAAAATGGTCACAACAGTTGTTCAGAAAAATGGCAGTGATTATGACAATAAGTCTAAAAATTGATCAGAACATTAGTCCAGAACAAAGATTATGACAGTAATTCAAAACAGTGGCCATGACAGTACTCCAGAACAATGGTGGGATAGTAATTCTAAATAGTGACTAGGAAAGTAACGTAGAACAGTAGAAAGAACAATATTCCAGAACAAATATTATGACAGTAATTAAAAACAGTGGTCATGACAGTACTCCAGAACAGTAGTCCAGATCAGTGGTATGACAGTAATTATAAAACATTGGTTAGAAAAGTAACGTAGAATAGTGTTCTGAACAATATTCCAGAAAAATCGTTATGAAAGCAATTCAAATCAGTGGGGAAAACAATTTGTTGAAAATACACGTTTTATTAGGACAGTTGTTCTAAGTATTTGCCAGAATAATTCTCCAAGACAGAGGTCTTGAGAGTCATTTAATTACATGAGATCATTAATAGATACATATTGTACCAGAAGTTTTTGTAGTGATAAAAGTACAGAAATTAACACATTTATTGCTTCTTGTCAAAGTATTCAGTAAATTACTCTTATCCTAGTATGATTTGAATCTCTGATTCTCTAGTTTAGGGATACACGGATTTCACTTATTAAGGTCCCAGATGTGTCATATAAGGTCAGTTTCAAAATAAAAGTTTTGTATTATGGGATTTGAATACAAGATGCTTAAGGACACTGTAATGTAATGTGATTGAATTACAACTTTGATGAAATTCTAAGATGAAACTTTGGACTTTTTAATAGCCGTTCTTTTTTCACCCTTGAAAGTTGATTTTCTTTCTGGTTTGTAGGAATAAACGTTTCTGTAAATTTACTTTTAAAGGTATTAATAATATAGAATCTTTACTTACGTAATTTTTATTGGCTGATATAACTGTCTGAGTTAATTACCGTTAAAAAGAAATACATATAATTGTATACATAAGTACCATACACAAAGACAGACATTTTTTTCAGGATTTATTTTTATTATTTTTTTTGTGGGTGGGGGTCGAAGATTTACATTACAGACATAAAAATAGAACTTAGAACATAAAAATTTCCAGAACTCTTGCTCAGTGTATATATTTATTTTATTAATATCATACAAATAGTTTTTATTTTTCAATGCTTATTACTTATTAGGTTCAAACATTGTTGTGTAATGCCATTTCTAGACATTATATGACACTAATAATTAAACAATTTAAAAAGAATACCGACAGCTGGAAGTAAGAAATAGTTGTAAATAAGTTCAAATTTTATTGTAAATTATCATACTATTGTGAAAAATATTTCTTAGATGTTCATAATTTCAAAATTTAAAGACGACCAGATCTAGATAACGTTTGGATAATAATTTCTTGACTGTCATATGTTTCTCATAACATCCACTGGTGCTTATCAATGGAAACAGAAGGACAGACAGCAGGGTGCTGAGCAGACAGTACAGAGGTGCGGTAGCCACAATACTCACGCTTATACCAAGATTATAAGAGCTGATTGCCCATTTGAAAGAAGTTCAAATATCAGGAAAATACTTAGGGGTTATCTTGCACGCACAATGATGGGGTACAGCCACTGGTCCCCACTGTGGTTCTTTACTCGAAAAATCATCTAGGCGCCGGTAATACATATACACCCATCCAAGTCTTTCTATACATTCACTTTCATACCTAAAACAACAACACAAAATACTGTGAGTTAGAACAAATATAACACTAATGTGTGTGTTGTGGCTTATTAAAAATATGACCTACCAAACGATCGTCTCAGAGTTAAACTCAGCCATTTCAGTCGAAACTCTTAATCCCTTAAGACTGCTGCACTTCAGTGTAAAAATAACTCAAAATTATTCATTTTCATTATTTTTTCGGTTCTTGTAGCTCGTAAAGTGTAATAGTAATTTCTTTCAAAAATTGAAATAGTCATTGGTCATATTCGCTCTTGATGACTTTTGTTGTTTTCAACACGAAATACTGATTTTATGTGTGATGTTCCAAACCGCTTCCAACACATTTGGCTATTGCTTTACGTAACACTTATTTATAAAATCTCAGCTTGTAAATTAATTTTTTCCTGAAAATTGTGAATCATTATCGTACGTTTTTGATAAGGTAAAGTTAACTTAAAATAAGTAAAACATAACAAAACAGCTGGCTCGTTCATATTCATTAGAACAGGTTAAGTAATCCTATGGCAAATATATATATTTGAGTGAAATAGGCATAGAATAGAGCGAATATTTTAGGAAATACTAAACACGTCATTGTATTATTTACTGAGTTTTGATTTTCAAAAAAAACTAAATCTATAAATACAATATTTAACATTTTCTTATACAGTATCCTGAGTAAGAATAATTGATCAACTTGTAATTATTTGATACCCTCAACTATCCGAAGATCAAAGCTGTAGTTGGCAAGAGCAAATTTAAAGGTTTAAGTGACGAAATCAAGAGACTAAGCGAATTGGATTATAAAACACAAGACAAAAACTTTATATTTCAAAACGTTAAAGGTAAAGTGTACATATATAACACTAAAACGACAGAATAAAGTAAAACAACTACTTCAAAATTAAGGGTATATTGAACATCTTGAGACGTACATACTAGTCATGATTATATAGACAAGAGCACCACATAAAGATGTGTTAATTGGTATGAAACAAAAACTGAAATATTTTAAAAGAATGACAAGATCTTTCTTAACAAATGAAACACTGTGAAGTTCACCAGTCAAGAAATATAATTATGAAGTTTCACGATTCCCAAAAAATGATACGAAATCAACCACCCACCTTTCTGGAGAGTTTACACAAACTGTTTTACACTACCAATCCATGGAATGGTTAAGGTTTCAAATATTGTTACGCCATACAATCTGATAGAAAGTATACAGCTTACAAGTTACACCATAAAATATTGTTACGCCATACAATCTGATAGAAAGTATACAGCTTACAAGTTACACCATAAAATATTGTTACGCCATACAATCTGATAGAAAGTATACAGCTTACAAGTTACACCATACAATCTGATAGAAAGTATACAGCTTACAAGTTACACTATACAATCTGATAGAAAGTATACAGCTTACAAGTTACACCATACAATCTGATAGAAAGTATACAGCTTACAAGTTACACCATAATATATTGTTACGCCATACAATCTGATAGAAAGTATACAGCTTACAAGTTACACCATAATATATTGTTACGCCATACAATCTGATAGAAAGTATACAGCTTACAAGTTACACCATAAAATACTGTCGTTTAAACGAATATCAAAATTAGTGGCAAACCTGCTGTATAAACACAATTGCATTATAAATATAAGAAATGCTGCTACTCAGAAAAATATAAAATCTGATTCTTTATGCATAATGCTAAATAATTTCGCAGATATACTATTGTATACAAAATCATTGAACTATCATCCCTAGAAAAAAATAAGTTTGTTTTCACAGCTTGCAGGTGAGTCTCATAGGGCATTGCTTCATATAAAGGTCAACAGACAACCAGATGAAGTTTAAGGTGTCAAGAAAAAATGAGCTAACTGACCTTCAAAGAATTATGTTTACTAGACGAAGCATTGGTGGTATAAGTTTCTGAGGCTTTGCCATCCTACTCACTCAATCAAATTTAGGTAACGCGCTGAAGAAATGAGAATCTAGTAACAGCGCTATTGTAGAATATCTACTAAAATTAATCATTACTTGGTTAATGGGAAGCTGGAAATGTGATGTGAAATAAAACCGGACATCTCAATCACCTAAGATTTTAAAGACAGTTCAAAACTGCAGGTCATTTCGCCAACTGTATGCTTGGGGCTGCAACTATTAGACTATGAATAAACTGTAACTCAAGTCTATCGTTACCTCCTTAAATAGAAGGTAGTGAGTCTCTTGAGCTTATTAAATTGGAAGATAAAGATTGAAGAGTAGTGAAAAACTATCATGTGGAACGAACAATCTTAATATCTATCGTTTACTTCAGGAGAACGGGTCTTGAAATTGTATCGATCTGGTGAAAGGTTTAATGTAGACTGTTGATGATAGTTAAGAAATCCACGAATACTTTGTCGCATTATGACAGTATAAAAATGTAATTATTGGAAAATTATAATGCACCATGCCGTATCTCAACTATGTCCAGCAGTGGCGTAAGACAGAAAACGATCAGGATTTCTTGGCAGACCACTCTTTAACATTTTGTAACTCCATCTGACGGAAATAAAAGCTAGACCCCAAATACCATTGTTACTTTATAAGAGAAGTATCAATCTATTCCATCAAATGTATAATAGTGTTTGGTGACCAGTGCTAGCGTGATTAATACCAGAGGTGGGACCTGCTGGTGAAATACCATACCATATTACTCAATACTGACCCAATACTTTTGGTATTTTAAATGACACGTGCACACATTCATACCTACATATCCATAATATATTAAAACACATTTTACAATGGGATATGTTAAGTTTAGTTAAATGCATAGCTCTTACGTATAAAAACAACATTGCTTATTTACATTAAAGCATACTGTGAAAAGACTCCACTTACAATGTGGATATTCCACTGCATGGTCTATATGCCGTTACACACTTGAAAGAGAAAACAAACTGCCTGAGATCATCTTGTTGAATCACCTCTACAGGCTTATTGTAGACGTCAGTGGTGAGGTTAATCTGTATCCAGGTGGTCTCAGTGCTACAGATTTCTTCTGATGGGTAGATAGAACCTCTTTTGGATTTTTGGTTTGTTGGTAATTTTGTTTCCAATCCTTTAAACTGTTGGAATAGAGTAATTAAAATATGTTTGATTCAGAACTTATTCTACCTTTTGAACACAAATATATTCTGTTTCCTATTAACTAACAATACTAATACCGCATTACGACTCAAAAAAATATATAATGACAAACCGCCTTATGGGGACCCTCTTCATATTTCTAAACACTCCATGTATTCACATACGCAACATAAGCTGGTCATAAGAAATGTAAGGTGAGTTTTTGAACTAAGTATAAGCAAAGGAATGTAGTCATTTAATGATTAGTATGCATTATAAGGGTTAAGAGCAAGAATCTATGCAATTAACATTAGGAGCACTATTTTTAAAGGAAAAAATTATTGATATATCAAAATCATATGTCATCACTATCTCTCAGTGGCAAGTGAAAAAGAAATACATATGCTACTGGGAAAAATTGTGGGCGATAACCACTGATGGCCGACCCATGCAAGTGTGGCCCATTTGACCAATTCCTTTGCATCAGTATTCTACTAATTTTCACTCGTTTCATATGAAGGACATTACATATAGCAACCGAGAACTAGTCTTAAACACTTATTTGACACGTAAATACGAAAATACATTTCCACGTTTGATTTAAACAGAAAATGTGCCATAGAATGGCTGGAAGCAGGTAAATTTTCTTTGTTAAGTTGTTTTTACCCTGTTTCTTCCTATTCATGATGAGGTATGAATATGGAAAAGAAACAATGTGAAACACTTTAGCATGAGAGTGGAACCTGATGGAGATGATATAAGGTTACAGTTAATGTCTCTTGATAGGTGCCGAGTCTTTTACTACTTAGACGAGTAAATACATCTTAAGTGTTCTTGAATGTTGTTGCTGTTTATGCTAATTCACGAATACTGCATTTCTGCCTTCATAAAGAAGGGCCTTTTAAAGCGATAATGCAACAATTTTTCGTGTTAATACTGTCCAAGATTTTTTCGTGTTAATACTGTCCAATATGTGTTTAAGCAGCATAGCATTGACTTCATTCATCCTTTCCGACCAATATAATCACTAACTCTAAATAGTATTAAGATCTTTGGGATGATCTTGAACGTTGTTTTCGCCACAGTACTCCTTTGTTGATATTTCTGAACATGATAAGTGAATGTTAGCTTCCGGCATCTTGAATATTGGTGTGTCATGCCGAGTCCAAGCTATTATCACAGCAAAAGATGATCGAACGCGGATTAAGGCCGGGTTCCTAATAACTTGGCCAGTCAGTATATGGGATGGCATTGGCCTAGTTAAGTTAATAATGGAGAAAGTTATATGTATTAAAACAGTTAAATGTAATGACTTAGTTAACCATATAAGGTGATTTTTCTAACCTCATCTGCAATGTTTCCATGATAATTGGTGTTTGGAACAAAGGTTGGTTTTTCCTTTCCCACCCACAGACGACGCTGATGAAGAGCTGGGTGCTCAGCAACGTAGTCGTAAAATTCATTCATATGCTTCGTCAATCGTGCCATTTGGAGAGAAGACATTGGACTACTTGCGTGTTGTTGAAGGTCTTGCAGAAGGTTTTCCATGTAAGCTGTAAAAGATCGAAATATTTACGCAGCTTTCATATGAACTCAAAACAGTATGCAAGTTTCATATGATTTTTTCTTGATAACCCGACTTTGTGTAATGAAGGAAGAACATAGAAAATGGTGCGTCTTGATAACGCGACTCTGTGTAATGAAGGAAGAACATAGAAAATGGTGCGTCTTGATAACCCGATTTTGTGTAATAAAGGAAGAACATAGAAAATGATGCGTCTTGATTACCCGACTTTGTGTAACGAAGGAAGAACATAGAAAATGGTGCGTCTTTATAATCAGCTTTGTGTAAAGATGGAAAACATAGAAAATAGTTCGTTGTGATAACACGACTTTATGTAAAGATGGGAGAACAAAAAAAAAAATGGTGCGTCTTACAAAATCTAAGATACCAAACTTAAGATGCTCAGTTTTCTAGGTTTGGAAAATTCTTACATTGTGTTTGTTTTTGGTTTGAATTTTTATTGGCTCTTGTAGAATATTTATCGATGATGTTAACTCAAAATTTTCTAATGTTGAAACACGACTTTCTCTGCAATAGTGCAAATCGATCCAAAGTTTCAAAACTGCAAAGTTAAAAGTTTATTTGTATTCGCTACAGAAATTTCCACTCATCTCGTGCACCAGGAATCTCATGTTTAGTAAAGCTAGAGTTTTTGATTCTGCAGGAAACAATGAACGTATACGAGTGTACGAATGTAATAGAACACCCTATGCAGTAAACAATGTATGTACACGAGTGTACGAATGCAATAGAACACCCTATGCAGTAAACAATGAACGTACAAGAGTGTATAAATGTAGCAGAACACCCTATGCAGTAAACAATGTACGTACACGAGTGTATGAATGTAGCAGAACACCCAATGTAGTAAACAATGTACGTACACGAGTGTATGAATGTAGCAGAACACCCAATGTAGTAAACAATGTACGTACACGAGTGTATGGATATAATAGAACACTCGATGTAGTAAACAATGTACGTACACGAGTGTATGGATATAATAGAACACTCGATGTAGTAAACAATGTACGTACACGAGTGTATGGATATAATAGAACACTCGATGTAGTAAACAATGTACGTACACAATAGAACACCCTATAGTAGTAATTTAAAACGTTGGAAGAAAACATCATAATAGGCAATTTATTGATTTTCTCTCTTTTATCCATGGCTTTTAATGTGCTACACATTTAATTAAATTAAAGTTTGAAGAAAAAATACCATATAATTACAAACGATTAAGTACAGCGGATGTTTTAAATGTTGTTCAAGACCTTTAATGAAAATACAACTGGATATACATAATTGTCTTCAGTTTCTGTACCAACCATTACTGACCAAGATTTGGGATTTCTATATTTTAAGATTTTCGTACAGGTACATATAATTATATAAGGAACGAAGCTGTATAAAATACAATATGGCGTTGTCAACGCCTCAGACATAATCCAGCCAGTTTGCAGTTAGAATTATATTAAAAGAATTAAAAGAAAACAGCGTTGGTATTTAAAAAAACTGTGAAAAACATTTTCTATTTCTTGTCTAAGTTCATTGTTTTCGTTATTCTATCCTCCATGTGGCATGCTCTTATTATAAACTCTGAGAAATACTTTTCGTATCTTAATAATGCTTTTAGTAGCTCCTTTGAACATAAACTACAATACTCTTTTATCTCTGCATAACCTTAGTTCCTTATCCTCATTAGCATCTATATATATATATAGCAAGTCCTGCTAATTCATACTGGCAGGAAACGAGTTTACTATATGTAAACAACTACATAGATCTCGGTTTATTTAAAAGATAAGCATTGATAAAATTCAGAATAAGTTGCTGTTCCATTTGGCAGCCAATACTGATTTCAAAAGATTCACTGTACAATAAATTAATACATTACTGTCAAAATATGATGTTTTTCTTTTTGGCAGTAATAATTTGACAAAAATAAAGCTTACTCTGAATAATCAATCTTAACACTTTATTTCCAGGGTAGTGGTCCAGTAACTGAACATCATCCATTTCCTGAGTAGCCACTGTAACAAAATAACTTATTAATTACAGAGAAGAAACAAATTATTATATAGTTAAACAAAATAAAGTGGTATGTAGTTAGATAACAAATCACTAATATTGTAGAAAAAACTAAGACAAAATATACCTATAACACAGTGCAGCTATTACAATATGAAATATTAGTTTCTCTGTACGTTAAAATTACGAATTTAATGTACTCAGAAATCATTGTAATTATAATACACCAAAATGATTAATTTAGGACTTTACTGTGTTATTTATTAGTTTGAATCTAATAATTGTGAGTAGTATTGTGACTTTTAATTTTTCATCATGCACAATATTAGAAAATACAAGTTCACATTATCCTAATTTCCGAGAAATAAAAACAAAACAACTTATTGCACACATTATAAGTTTGTTTTAGAACAGAAATACACAAGGGGTGTCTGCGATTAGCCGGACCTAATTATGAATTAAAAAACAATATTTTGTTTGTTTGTTGTAAAGCATGAAGCTGGACGATAGGCAATCTGTGTTCTGCCCACCGCAGGTATCAAAACCTAATTTTTAGCGTTATAAGTCAACTGAATTATCGCTGAACCACCAGGAGCAGAGGGAAATAAACAAGAGAAAAAGCAGTTAGTCAGCAGCGCACACCGCCAACTCTTGGGCTTCTCTTGTCTAACTGAATAGCAATATTTCACAGTCGCTCTTTTAGCACACTCACGATCTCAAAGCTGAAGTGCATGTTTTGAGACAACGAGCGTGCTAACCAGTATGTAACGACTGACCATACATTATAAACATTTTATCAAATTTACATTCAATTCTTAACTTCCAATACATCCTTACTATCGCCACTCGAGCGACTAATTATATAGCAAACCTCAATGATGTTCTTATAACTCAAGTTGTTGAATCCACTTGATTGAGTTGTGGCCTCGGAATGTGATAAATAGACTCTGGCTTTAACTAATATCCTAAGATGAACTGAATGGGTGACTTGCAGTGTCATTCAAGAAAATAACAACATATATTGGCTTTATGGGAAACCTGGTTTGTCAACACAAATGACAGTTTAAACAAACAGCCTTTTTTTGAGCAACCGAAATATAAAATTCCTTAACGTTAAATATTTGTAGTATTTTTTTTATGCTGGCAAAATGTTTTGGACATGAAAACACAAATGTACAATCTTTCTATACTAGTTACACACACATATACATAATATTGTCGTAGATCAATTTGCACGTCTTCATATAAGTCTAGTTTGTTTCCACCAAGAGATGGTTATTGATCCTCTTAAACAAACATGGGAATAATGGGATCATCAATTAACTTTTAACTCGTTACTCAAGCCTAATTATTCAAAACGCCCGTGCTTACAATGATTATTATTTAAAAAAAAAAAACTGTTGTCACATATCGGTTCTGAGCATTGGTGAAACTACGTTTAATTATAATGACTTTATTATTTTGTAAAGGTTTTGATCGTATTTGATTAATTAATTAACTGAATAGCTACTAATTGATTTCGTTAACTTATGTATTTATGTATATAATATATATATGAGAACAAAATATCACGATAAACATTAGCCATGCTTACATAAGGTATCTGTTGAGCAAGAGTTTGGTAGGGATGAGTCGTGAACGTTCATTATAGGGGAAAATCTTTATCAAAATAATATGCTTGTTGTTGAACATATTTGTTGTAGGTTGTAAGTCCGCAGATATACCGCTATTTTTTCAGTTAAAACATTTTATTTGACGATTATCATGCAGCTGAATTGAACATATACTTCTGTTTTTACATCAAGAGACCACTGAGGTGGTTTTCTTTCTTTGTTCGTATTAGTATTATTCATCGGTAAATAAGCTAATTTATTCAATTTATTTCAGCTTTTGTATTTTTGTTTGAGATATTAACTTGTTGTAGATGATTTATAACATAAGTTATAATCCCTGTTATTCTGTGAGGTAATAACCAAAAACTGCTTTTTAAGAATAAGCTAATATTATAAAAGTATATTCAACAAAAATCTGCATGTTGTCTAAAGCCTAACAGCTCTAAGATCTCATTATCAGCCTTCATCAGACTGGAACAAAATTTTGACAACACAACATCTGCTTTAATCCTATTGAAACAATGTTTTGCAGCTAAACATTAGTTTAGGAAAAGGTCTGGTATTTTGAAAACTTTCTTCAGCAAGTTGTGACAACACTTGGAATTCTAACATATATCTTCAACAGACTGGGACAACAGTTTCAAATTCCAGTACATGTCTTCATGAAATATTTGGCCGGATCTCATTTAGTGTCATCTTACCACTATGTGAAAAACAATGCACACCAAAATAAGCTTAGTTTGAGTCTATACAGAGTCTTAGGGTGTAGAATATTTTAGATTGCAAAGTATGGCATATAGTAAGAATACATGTCTTATGTTTTCAAAATAAGACAGATAATAATTTGAAGGACATTGATCTTTATTAGCTCAGTAGGGGTTTCCAGTTAAGATGTTAGATATACACAACTGTTTAAGTTAATGCTACCATGTATACTACCATGATAACCAACAGTGTAATGAACATTTGTATATACATATATATATTTGACTTGTTTTAATATATTATTTTAAAACAAGTGGACTGTGTGCTGGTTGTTTATTGTTGAAACGTATCGCTAACAAGTCACAGACAATTACTGTAAAGAATTCGGCCCATATATAAAAGCTGACATAAGAGAAGCGTACAATATTATTTCAACTATATAAAAAGCGTTAGAACTAAGATTGTTATCATCTGAATGTTATAGAGTCACACACAATATATTCAGAAACTATATCTAATGGTGATTATACAAATAGAAAGTTGTAGATATTTTCATTCTACCTGAAAGAAAACCAAAATACAAAAAAACGGATATTTTAAAAGGTTGAATAAATGTTTTACCTTATCTTGTACGTAATACAATTGTAAAGTATGATCGTAAGGAGATTTTCATTAACAGCAGCACAAACAACAACTAGTCAATATACTTTAAAGAACCATCTTACAGATAAAGATAACGTTCTCACAAGACAATTTTGTAGAAATTAGAAGTGATTAAGCGATGTATTATTGTTTTTTTTTCAGGTAAAATAATACACCCTTATTAAATTTATAGTTGTTAAAAATGTTTTATGTTATTTTTTAACTCTCTCGTACCTATATAAAAAAGAACCAGATGAAACTCAAAGAAATCATACTGTTATGTTTAGCTTAGTAGTTGTGTAACTCGAATAAACCGCATCGTTATATTTAGTTGTGTAATTTGATCGTTTAACAGACTGTCTTCGAAACACCTTTACTACTTTTAATCATTTCGGTTAATTTGAGACTGACAGTGAAATTAACAGCATGTCAAACTAACACAGATCTTGCATAGCAGTGTGCTGTACCTCTGCATACTAAATAAATACCAAATATTTTGTAATTCATGATTTTTTTTTAGCTAGATGACTTGTCCCTCGAATATTTATGGATACTGATAACTTTTATCACGAATACTAAGAACAAAGCGACTAAGTTACTAAGTATTGATAAAAGTGACTTGATTACATATTTTAAAAAGTTATTTGTTTGTTTGTAATTTTTAGCTAGATGACTTGTCCCTCGAATATTTATGGATACTGATAACTTTTATCACGAATACTAAGAACAAAGCGACTAAGTTACTAAGTATTGATAAAAGTGACTTGATTACATATTTTAAAAAAGTTATTTGTTTGTTTGTAATTAAGCACAAAGCTACACAATGGGCTATCTGTGCTCTGCCCACCACGGGTATCGAAACCCGGATTTTAGCGTTGCAAGTCCGCAGACATACCGCTGTGCCACTGGGGGGCTAAAAAGTTATTTTTATGAGCTAAATACAAAAAAGGTTAAATTTGAAAATGAAAGGGTCGGGCGTTGCTTAGTAGCTGTTGTCAGAGTGATTAATGGTGAAAGATTCGAGTCGCTATATGCCACTGAACATGCTCAGCTATGGGAGTAACAGTCAGTCCCGCTATTCGGTCAAGAGTGGCCAACTAAAATGCAGATACTGCTGTCTGGTTGTCCTCCATTTAGCATTAGAAATGGCAATACTTGAACTAAATTTTCGTATTGAACATACCAAATCCCACTTCAAAATAAGAAAAGACGATAATAAAATGTGAGTATAAAAAAGTGTGTATTGTAGAGAGATAAATCCAAAAAAATCAATCCTGATATTAGAATTATTCATTGCATTAGTTATTTATGGTGACCTTTATGACCCCAAATTAAACAAAATTAATTCCATGCATTATAGAAGATAAAACCAGAAATAAATAAAGTCATATACATAAACACACTTCTTAAAGAGTCCAAATTCACAGTACTATATCGTTTTACTTCGTTATGTTTACATGGGCTGCATGACCCTTCAGACCCAAATTTCAACCCCTCTTCAACATATATTGTATAATTATTTTCACGTGCCATGAAATATTGTATGAAGCTGGGCTTTAGTTAAAAACCAGCTCGAACACTTGGAACTGAATTTAGTATTACGTTAATGGATGAGGAAAAATCCAGTTTTTTTTTTACTTTTTTGTTTCAGTATTAAATTTCAATTCTTTTTTTCAGAAAAAAAACTGTGTAAAAGGTTAAAATAACAAATTTAATCACAATATAAATGGATTTATATTATTGATAGAGTGGTCAAACATGCTAAAAATAACTATTTATAATAATTTTATTTACGCATATAATCATCTTTATACACACAGCTACCTCTCTAGACAAAATGTAAATGTCCGGCTATTTGTTTCTGTTACCCGGAATTCTTGCCAACAAATTTCATTTTAATATGTAATTCAATGAGATAATAATTTACTACTAACTATGATGCTGATTTTTGGTCACCGATACTGTTACTTTTCCTTTAACACTGATTTAAATATAGACAGAGCTTGCAACATGATATTACAGAAATTAAATAACTTTTATTT